AGCTATGTTCCAAAAGCATTACAGAAATGTGATTATAATTACACGACGATAGTCAAAGTACCAATTTATGAATTGTTTAATTTCATTCAACGATACAACAGGTAATGACCTACTTCTGATTGGCGTCAGTTACTAGAGCGGCAGCCAATATTTTTAACAGCGTTGTATTTCATATGACATTCTTTCCCAACATAGCTCAAGTAGTAAATTTCTTTCAGCTATATGCATGGATGTCTATATATTTATCGAGTTTTATATGAACGTGTAATTTCATTAAACTATTAAAACACTGTTGACATTTGATATGCTGCGAATTTCTGTTGTTATCATAACGAGTAATTCCTGCCCTCAGCAGAAATCTCACTCAACTTTATTTATATACAGTCAGTACAGCAATAACGTAATCATTCATTTTTTAGGCATTATCAAATGCAGAAGTAATCTGTGAGAGTGACAGAATCTGTATTGTCTTCTATTGTGGAAACGAGAAAAATTCCTACAAAGTGAAGCGGAGAGACGGAAAAGATATTTTTATAGTTGAGAATGAGGAAAAGGTAAAACATAGTTCGAATATGGTTCGATGAATTTAACAGCATTGAACAAGTTTGTAACCAAGCTTATCGTTTCAGTTTTGAAGTTAGCAGAATAGAATTGTAAGCTCGGTATGCAAATTAAATATTCGTTTAGGGATAATCTACTCTTATTGAATCAACTGAAATATTATAATACTATACAACCACATTCATGTGAGCTGTTTTTAGTGACAATCAATCAAACACTGACATCACATCAATATAGTACATAATCACATGTCACAGAGGCCGAACAATACAACATAGCATTCAAAATAAACTTCTTTAAAATTAATGAATTTATGTTTATCAACGGGATACTGAAAAGCTATCATGGTTATAAACAAGCTTGTAGCACCATATGTTATTGTGTCTTTTTCAGTAACAGATTCGTTTATTAGGTACCTTGAGTGGACTTCTGACAGATTTTATAATTTTTGACAATATTTCCAACTTCTTATTTTCAGAAAATATTGTGTGTAAATTGTATATTATTAAAGAATGTCAGCTCAATAACTTAAAGTAACATAGGTGACCTTAACAAAAATATATTTTCGACATATTGAAACCAACCAGCTGAATTGTTTTGTTATTCGATATGTAGGTATTGAGGCTGGTCGTCTGACGATATTTCAATTCTCTATTGTTAACCAATTCTTTTGTCATGTTAGGTGATGAAAAAGTGAATATTCCACACTGTACCTCTTTCCGCTCGAACTATTATGTTGTTTGCCTGGACTTTCTAATTAAATTCAATTTTCTAAATTTCATTGTTTGTAAAGAAAAATAGAATTTGTTGATGGTGAATATAGATGTAAATTTGAAGATTGATAAGGCATTATTAAATAATGAATGATTTCGATTCATTATAAATTGATTGATATGTTTTGCCACAACAAATTAATTAGGCAGGAAGTTGATATTTTAGTAATCTAATGTTCTCTCATTTTATTCGTTATAGTTACGCTGGCCACAAATTGAATGCCAAGGTTCAATTAGTGTCAGTGATATTGAGCATTTTATAAAGGTCAATCACAAGTATTTACATCCTGAAGACATAAAACTGTTACAGGCAGCAGTAACAAATGTAATTAAAGAGGTTCCATCAGAAGTGAGTATGATTAGATACCAATAGTGACATTGAGTTGTGAACTAAATCACCCTCCCCTGATTAAACACTCCGCATATCGATGAATTAGATACACATATATGTATATAATGCACATAGTTCTGAAAGAACATACAAAATAAAAGTCAACCATGTCAACTGTTTCCATGTCAGACACTTGCATTAACTTTAGACAACTAAAAGACATTTTTTTACATTTCAAAACGCTCAATTACCCAGGTAGCTATTGCCACTGCTTGATGAAGGTCAGTCATCTTCAGTCAAAGCATCCAGAAGAAGCAAATTCTCTAAATTGTTTCTATTTTTGCAAAAATCCTAAATGGTGGCAAAAACCACATGACTTTATTTAGAATATGTATGATTTGAGGTTAGGGATGGGACGAGAGATAGCCAAACATTACGGGATTGCAGTATTACAGGAATGCAAGTGGAAGGAATTATTAAATTGTAACTTGTACTATTGCCAGAGTTCAAACAATTTCAACAGGTTTCGTAATTAACTGCATTTCATCTAAACAAATTATATAATCAACTCATGGGTTCTTGAGGTTGTATGAAATGGTATAGAGTACTACATTAATGGAGTGTAAGAGGTACCATGTTTTTTTGAGCTGAAGGAAAGACTTATGTCACCCCAAAACACAGTTATGTTCCAAAGCATTATAGAAGGGGGATGATACTAATTCATGAATTGTTGTATTTCATATGAGACATTCTTTCCCAACATGGCTCAAGTAGTAAATTTCTCTCAGCTATATGTATGGATGTCTATATATTGAGTTATATATACTGTGTGTAACTACATACTATTTTATTCGAGTGCCTATTATTTAGAGTTTTATAAGAACGTGTAATTTTATTACACTATTGAAACACTGTTGACATTCGATATGCTGGGAATTTTTGTTTTTATCATAACTTGTAATCCCGCCCTCAGCAGCAATCTCACTCAACTTTATTTGTATACAATCAGAACAGCAATAACGTAATCATTTATTTTTCAGGCATTATCAAATGGAGAGGTAATCTGTGAAAGTGAAAGAATCTATATTGTCTTCTATTGTGGAGACAAAGAAAATACCCACTAAGTGAAGCAGGAAGAAGGGAAAAATAAATTGGAAGTTATAAAATGTCGTCCAAATATGTCTCCAAAGGGCGATGGCTCTGCTGGAGCTGGTGCAGTTACAAAACTAGGTGTGGGTGTTGGTACAGGCGCGGTAGTTGGTGCAATTGGTGGTGGCATAGTAGCTGGGCTACCTGGTATTGCAGCTGGAGCAGCTATTGGAGGCACCGCTGGATTAGCTTTGGGATGTACACTTGTACCTGAATCTGCTGTTGGAAGAATGTCCCTTGGTACAGCAGCATGTGCTGTAGTTGGTGGGGTAATTGGTGGCCTTGTAGCCGGCCCAATTGGTGCAACAGCTGGGGCCATGAAAGCAGGGGCATGTAGTGCTGTTATTGGTGGAGCTTGTGGATTGTGTTTAGGAGCTACATCATCAGTTGAATTAAAATCCAAGAAATTAGATATGGGTACGGTTAAACGCGCTATAAGTGATTAAATTTAGTATATTAAGTTCATTTAAAAAAATGGATTAATACTAATGATATTTGTACACTATCATGGAATTAAGTTAGCCGGAAACGTGAGTGTGTAATATTCATTTTCATTAGTTGTAAATTGTTTCAAACTCTAGCAGTAGTGGCTTAAAACAAGTATCCCAGACTAACCATATTTGAGACATTCCCTTTAATAAGACTATTTCCACATTTTCCATTGTGATGAGATGAATTCATTATTACAAGTCATTGATTTCTGGAAACCAAAATACGTCTCTGGTACAAGTCATTGTAAAAGACATGATTCATAGTATCAGAAAAGCATTGCCTATAATATAATACCAAGTTCCACTGAGAGTAGCCAAGGGATGATGAATTAGGCATGTTTAATTGAGTTTAAAGACAACCAATGTGGATCACAAATTCATGACGCTCCTGATTCTATTTGAAATGTGCATTTTTTTACAATATCATTACATACACTGTTTCTACAATTGTTTTATAAAATGAAAAAAAAATAATATACAGGCCTATGCAAAAGGACACTAAGTGGATAAACACTATTTTGATCAGCAAAGATAATCACTAAGAATTACACAATCATTATTATCAATATTCATCTCATCTTTTCTATAGTAAAATATTTGTTTTTGGTGATGTATTTTTATTTTAAATTGCTGTGAAAATGTTTTTAAAGTTAATTTCAAAAAACTAAGATATGCCATGCGATTTTAAGTACGAGACTGTCATTTTTCTCATTTTTCTCAACTAATTTCTCAGTCAGCTTGCTTTATACCGCATGGAAATATCTCGAATAAATATTTAATTTATATATTATCAGAGTACATTACTTGGCGTTTGCAACGCGCATAGTACTGCACGGTGACATCATGCCAAGATCCCATTCAAGTCTCATCTCGTAGATAGCGAGACTGATGCTACGACCCTTTGACATGACATAGGCGGTTTGTAATAAAACAATAAAACAGTATTACAAAATTTATAGTGAAAAAATGTAATACATCGACAATGTACGGAAAATATAGTTATCGTAATCCGTCTTATCGTTGAGCAGCTATTTTGATCCACCTGGACATCCCAGTATCCTAATTACCTCGGGCATGCGCATTCGCATTTTTCTGAGCTGGAACGCTTATGCGAGAGCGAGATTGAAACGGGATCTTGGTATCATGTCACCGTAGTTGCAAACCCCAAGTAATGTATCTCGGATATTATATATACAAATTATGGATTTAAATGGCTTGCATCAATTATTTAAAAATTTTGTAAAAATAACAATACATTGTATTATATATTTACAAATGATGTTTATTAATCACCAACAGTCTTTACTTGTACCATTTGTATTGTTATATTATTGTCTATCAGTTAAAATGCGGTGGTTATTGCGCAACATCCTGTACAATCTATACAACGTCTGTACAATTATTTGTTCACTTGAAATTTAATATAGTGTTCAACGACCACCACCCTTTAATTGTGAACAAGAAAATTAAACCTGCTACTTAACAGAAAATTGAAATACAAACACTAAATATATTTTATTGCAATGTTTATACAAGAGAAAGCGTCGAGTTATAGTGCCATCAGGCGGTTTCCATGCAAGAATAGGGAGTTGACTTCTAGTTAGCACATTTTATTCGCTGGTTGGTGCCTGTCGTTCTGATGAGCTGTTAAATGTTTACACATTTAAATGAACCCCCATACACAGACATAATTTGATCGTTTTTACACAAGAGCGACAACTTGTCAATTCTAGCTTACAAAATCCTTCTAATTTTATTGACCTGAGTTGATTTTCTTATTCAACCTAAAACTGGCTCAGCTTTTGTATCCTTTTTCAAATTTAGCATTATTGAATATTCTCATCTGGAATAAAGATATTGCATAATGAAAAAAAAGTGTTTTTATAATCTTCAATTATTCAACACTGATTGAAAAGGAAGCTTAGGGCTTATTATTGTGCTAACACATGACATGAGATAACAAGCAGCATCAGAAGGAAAAGCAATTTTCTCCTGGGACGGAAAACACTACTTGTCACTGACTGTAAAGAAAATCAAAGTCAAACACGTACTCAGCAAAGTGTTTCATCAATTTTTGTTCAGGTCCATTTGACCATCAATATACATTATATTAAAAAGCATATTTGTTTCTATTTTTGAGATGTGTACGGTGACATAGGGATTTTTTTCATTTTATATTATTTTGACAAATCCAGAAAAAGATGTTTGGTCATGCCTTTTGAACTGACTTGTGCATCAAAAACAAATATTTAATTACATTAAAACTACAATAAATTATAAGCCATGAGTAACAATACATACATAACTATACAACACCCAAAATGTTGTCCCATCATAGGTTCACTCAAGATACCAATTATCAAAGCATTTAGGCTGGTTGTTCTAATAACGACAACAATTACAGGTTAACTATCACCTATATTGTATGTGATATTTGTTTTTCTTGCACATACAAAAATTAGGTGTGAATATTTCTACTTTCAGATCAATACTGATAAAACACTTTTTACTAGAACTAATACACCACATATTCGAAATTAGAGAAAATAATGTAACAATTGATTGCTTGCCCTTTTTGATTGAAAGGAATGGAATTTGTATTGCAGGTGTATTAACCAGATTTGAAGGAGCAACAATGTGTAACCCAGCACCAATTGAACCTTTATTATATTCAACCAATCAGTATCGATTATACTCTCTCTACTGTGACAAAAATCAGAAAACAAAGGTAATATGTTAGCAGAGATCTCTTTTTTATTTGCTAAGCGTATACACTATCTTGCATGTAATAGGGTGAAAAGTACTATTATGTATAACACAATATTTATTAGCAGGACAAGTCTAGATATTTTGTGGTTTACCTTGCAACTGGAATCATTTATTTCTGTATAAATCTACAATTCTGTTACTGTCATGTCATGGCATTGTACTTAATAAATACATTAAAGAGACAGTTAGGTTTTGTGAAATTACATCAGTATATCACATGTTGCAAAAAAAAATTAAGTGAAATTAAGAATGACTAGCTGTCATACAGTCACTTGTTGTACAGAGACCAACTGTTGCCACATACATGTAGCTATTTGTTGTGGAGGGAAACAGCGATAATTATTACAATCAGTTGCAGCATTTACAATAACACAGAAACAAATTAAAAGTTATGTGGTACGGAGAAAGTACAAGTGTTATTGATACCACAGGGAGCCCAGAAACTATAATCAAACTATACACACTCCCTATGAGCAGGGGGGCTATCAGCTGGTATCTAGTGTCAGAAATAGACAAGAGATGAAGGCTCCAGCCAGCTCTTATTTTTTATGGAAAAAACATACGAACAGAATGAAAAATAAAATCTATAAAAATACCAGGTTGAAGAATATTAGTTGCTCTTTCAAATTTCGCCAAAGCCTTACCTATATTTTACCGATATCTGCAGAATAAATAAAAAAATCTAAAAAAATTGACTCCATATAAGAACAATTAACGGTTGGCCCGATCGCACGGCAGAGTTGGAGGCGAGGCCTGTTCAAAATTTGTCAACAACCAATCATAAGGCTGGTTACGAACGACATCGAGGTTACGACTCGGTTAGCCTTTTCTCAACTGTTTCGTAACCAGTCTTGTGATTGGTTCGTCGTCTCCAACTGTGCTAATTATAATACAAAGAACAAATGCAAATGTGTTAAAGAAGTCAGATATGAAAAAAAAACTTAGCTGTTGCGGAGAAAAGAACACTGAACTGTAGGAGACCTCCACAACTAATTATAAAACAAAAGCCATTGCAAAGGATAATTACACTACTAAGACCAACAAGCAAATATGGTAAAGAGGTCAGATGTGAACAAACTTGTGAGATACATCTACATTTGTACATCTTATTATTTTATGGACTCTTTGCAATATTATGAAGATACATTTTCAAGTTGGGCTAATAAGAATAAATGAGAAGGATTGTACAGAAACTGTTTGTTTACATAATCATACCTACCAGAAAATCCGTCGAAATGATAAATTTCATTTATTACTAGTTAGTAGCACGCTCACTGGAGGTGGGGAAGCTCCGACGACTGAAATGCAATTGTTTTAACACAATTAACATACATTTTTAACTCTAATGCATCAGTGAATAATAGCAGAACCTCAACATTCCATTGAAATGTAAAAAAAAAACAACGACCACCGCATCAGCTAGCCGGCCTCCAAAAAGTCGGTCACGCACCCAAGGCCTTCTTCACAGGCGATCAAACTCGTATTCCACTAGAGTAGGATAGGCTGAGTACTGCCCCCCGCTTAACCGAAATCGCTCCTGCCAAAAGGGCAGTATGGACTTGCAGAATGTCGCACATAGCGACTCTGCGCAGCCAAAATATCGGTAATTTTGCCCAATCAGCTATCGTTTCCTTTATCCAATCACCCATCGTATTTATTTATTTATCTACCTATCATAGTTATGCAATCTGAAACTTTTCCCGCCTGAACGGATATTTTAGTGCCACCCGGACATATCTAGGAGGTAACAAATATGCCGGCGTAGAGTGCATGTTTTCCGCATCTCGATGGCGATTTTGATGTAATGTCTGAGATAATCGTCAATTAACCAAACATTCTAAATTAATGTATTTTTAAACCAAAAAGTCTGGAACCGATTATCTCAACAGCAGTGGTGTAACGGTGATCGTTGCGTAATGCATAAGTATCAATGATCCTTAATCAATGAAATATTGCTGAATTTAGTTTTGAAATGCCATTTCCAAAAACATATTACTCATAGACAGCTGCTAAAGCATGTAAAAATACAATATTCTGCAATTGCTAACATCGCTGTATTGTAAAAAAATAAATTAAAGAATTTATATATGTATATTCTCATATCTTCACTAAAAATTGATAGAAATTATACTTGTACTTATAATTATACATTTCGTTAGAATTCTATATTGACTCTAGTAGAAGCA